GTTAAAATAACACAACATCAACATAACACCTCAATAATTATAGAACAGAACTTTATTAGTTTAAATTACCATAATATAAAACAACTAATAATATAACATTAAAATAACACAACAGCAACATAACACCTCAATAATTATAGAACAGAACTTTATTAGTTTAAATTATCATAATATAAAACAACTAATAATATAACATTAAAATACAACATCAACATAACACCTCAATAATTATAGAACAGAACTTTATTAGTTTAAATTACCATAATATAAACCAACTAATAATATAACATTAAAATAATACAACATCAATATAACACCTCAATAATTATAGAACAGAACTTTATTAGTTTAAATTACCATAATATAAAACAACTAATAATACAACATTAAAATAACACAACATCAACATAACACCTCAATAATTATAGAACAGAACTTTATTAGTTTAAATTACCATAATATAAACCAACTAATAATACAACATTAAAATACAACATCAATATAACATCTCAATTATTATAGAACAGAACTTTATTAGTTTAAATTACCATAGTATAAACCAACTAATGATACAACATTAAAATAACACAACATCAACATCCAAGATCAAAGTATAAATGGAAATCCTAGATAAATGATCTTTGACCTTGCAAAGGCTTGACAAAAGTGAATATACTTTTGAACAGATCTCGTCATGGACAACAACTTTTAATCAGGTATCAAGGTCACGAAAGGTCAAGGTCACAAGATTTGAGCCTTGGCAGTTATAGCAATTACTAAAAACATAAAACTGGAAAATAAAGAAAAGCATAGACAAAATTCAAAATTCCGCTTCCACATTTTCGATTGCAGATTCTTTAGACACCGCAATCACACACATAAGTATTAACCGTGAGGCCCCATTTCGAGTTATACAATAATTTGCCATATCAAGAGGGTGTCTGCCCCTATACTTCAAGCTCAATTTTTTTTCATTTCAATATCTTAAAGAATATTTACAAAATTCTGAAAGTTGAAATTTCAAGTTTAGGTGCGAATGGCGTCAAAACCGGAAGTGACATCAAAATTGTTGGTGGATATGAGACTTTATTTAGATCTACACCAATCGGTCTTCAATTGGAGCATTTCAGCACATTTTAATCCTAGGATTAATTTAATTTTTAGGACAATTGTTTGTTTCTCTGAAAAAGTATACAGCTCTGGCAGACCCTGATCTATAGTCAATTTCGATATCTGTTTCAGTAGATAGTTATACTTTGAATATCTGCCCTTGTAGTGAGTCACAGTTTAACAATCTGCCATCTCCGTACAGAGAAGACTGTTTTTTTCGGTAAAAGTAACATATACCATGGTTCCGAACGACTGATGGTACATGATTCAGCGTATTGACCGAATAAGGTCCATTGATGTTCGTTCATTAACTTCAAGACATATGGCGGGTCCACGATTGGTGGTTCTGCCATGTTGTAGCAATCAAAGATTATACTAATAAATAATAACCAAGGTGAGATGGATAATATTCAAGGTAAAGTTTATAACTTATTCCCTCCAAATAGCAATAACAAGATTGACGTTCATTCCTTTTAATCATCAGAATTAGATTAGATTTAAAAGATTAAATCTATTATTACACCTTTAATACATTCAATTAATTGTAATTAAAGATAATTCTACTTTTTGTACACACAAACTTACAAATAACTTAATATATTTATTTTTACAGCTATCGAATTTGCATTTCCATTCGAACAACACACTATACCAAGTATATTTGACAGAGTCTCAAGTTTGTCCTTGCTACATTTATAAGAGTGAATCTCATAATATAATCAAGGGTAACTCATGAATTATCTAACTTTTACTCTTGTATTCAAGAATATAAATCGGTTTACGAATTTCATTTGAAATATATACTGTAGCTTTGTCAGACTTAGCGAAGAAGTTGGCCAATTAATCAATCACACACTCCTGTATTATAGTAATTTGGAGAAGCCGTTCGCTATAATAAGCCGCACCTTTATAACGATATTATTGAACGACGCTAAAAAAAAAACACTCCTATATTATAGATGACAAAATTTAGCCAACGTTTTCGCTAAAAAAAAAAACTTTATTTTGTGAGACCAAATTTAGCGAACGACTGCTGTACGTAATTCTGTCTTCCATAATGTAGAAGTGTTTTTAGCCAAGTCGTTCAGACAACGACCTCGATAAATTACTTTAATATGAATGAATCGTCTTCGCTAAGTCTGACAAAGCTTGTATAATGTTTGGATGGAGGCTTATTTGTGGACCGATTTTATTCGGGTTTTATTTTTTATGTTCTTTGTAACAACCCGAAGGGATGCAATTAATAATAACTAACTAATAATTAATATAATTCGAACAATCCCAGAAGAATAAATCAAAACCGGAAGTTCTGTATAAGCTGTTATTAAAGAGTTGTCGCAAAAATTGTTGGAAACAGAATTTTGAATTTCGAATTTAATTTTTATTCTTTTAAATAAGCTCTTTCGAATTTTTTTGAAAAGTTGAAAGTCTATATCTCGTGACCTTGACCTTCAATGATCGTGAATATTTCATAGTAGAATGTCCTTGACCTCGGCTATCTATAAATATGCTAATATTGGATGAACAATATCAACTTCCGTCTTTAACGTTTTTGCAAATTCGGCCCACTGTACCACATTGTCCTCTAAATATAGGGGCTTGATTTTTTCAGATTCTTACTGTAAGATTGATCCCTTTTCCAACAATATACAACAATAATGCATACAATATTTTCTTTATAATATTGAAATTTTGAGGCTCAAATTATAAGTTCTTGTGTATTTGTCACAGATCGATGAGGTTCTCTTAATCAGAATGTTCTCTTTTTTCTCTTTTAAATTATATGTTACATGAATAGTTTTATATCATTAAATTTGGAAAAATTTTAACAAAACCCAATATTTATACAGTTTATTTGCATTGACAGGTGTGAAGGACGGCCGATGATAAATAAGCTGATTTGACCCTTTCACCTCTCACAGTGGTCATGGTCCAGCGCACACAATTTTTCAAAGAAACGGTGTAACCTACTTATAGCTTAAATTGAATTATATTCCTCATCTTTGTCCTCATACAATTATTGGGATTGAAATCTAACGGGCTAGAATTTTAAAAAGGTCCGAAAGGATGAGAATCTGGTGCCACGCTTGGAGCTGTTCACAGTTCTGGTCTTTCGTCATTTTATTATTATTATTTTACAATATGGCAGTGTATCATATGGTCCTTTAAGAGTACAAGTAGAGGGGATCATATCACCCACTGAATGAGGGGCTGAGAAAATTTTAGCTTTATAAGATCGTTAGTATTATCATGTATTTATCAGATTATCTGAACCATGGCAATTTAAGCTACAAAATGTCCTGGACCATTAGCAGAGCATCTCAAAAATTGGAATTCGCAACTAAAAAATATTTGTCTTTGTAGATAGCCGCCCAATTTATGGGAAAAAATCTTGTTACAAGCAAGTAACCATGCCTATAATATTGATCAGGGGTTACTGGTGAGAGTAAGGGGGGTTGTCAAGATCTTAACTTCCCCGTTGCTATGATAACCAAGTATTACATAATCAA